CGTTAGAAACGCATCACATGTGCACATCACATGTGCATTCCTATGACTGCGTCGTTGATAGTACAGTTAGCCGTTTAAGTGCATGAGACTTCTCAGCACGTGCTTGTTGCACTACACCGCAACAGCCGCAAAGTGCCACACCAACAAATAGTTTAAATGATATATTAGATGGAACATGCTAAACCGCGACACGGATGGTGCGTTTGTCCATCGGCATTGGAGGACCCTGTCCAGCCACGGCAACATCTGAAGTGAAAACATCTTGAAGATACCTTTGGAAGTTGGAGGCTTAAAGGGCTGATCTACCTGCCACCACCTGAGTCCGTCCTCTCCCGCTCTCGCATCTTCTCCAGCCTTGCCATTATGCGATGAACCGGGGCTTCATTATGGCCAATGTTTGAGACTCGGGAGCATGGCAATTGGCAACCTACTAAAGAAAAACACATTGGTTGGCTTTTTCTTGCAGGCGAGTGCAAAAACTACTGTAATTGGAAGGAGGGTGCAACATTTACTGTATGTTTCAATCCAACTCCAAAAACTCCAAACACGATGTTCGTCTTGTAGCCCTGGTGGATGCCGGTGATTCTCTCAACTCGAACTGGGCTCAGGTTGCAACAGCTCAATCGCAGTGCCCATCCCAGCCCGTTCTTTGAGCATGCCTGGTCTAAACGTGTCTCTAACGAACCCGATGCTCTTGAACAAATCCCTGCTGCTAGGCTATATGGCTGCTACCTCAGACTTGGTTTGTCTGGTGTATTTGGGCTGAACGTCAAACAAAAGGCATTGGAAGAATCATGACCTGCCAATGGGGTGGCATGTTCTCAACCATTTGCCCAAGAGCAATGGTTTCATGTGTCAATGGTTTCAACAGCTCTCCTGGAAACACGCCATCTTGCAGCCAAAAGGCAGCTTCGCCTTGGTCTGCTTCGGGTTGGATTTCACCTGGCGAAGCCCGCCTTCAGTCCCGCCTTCATAGATTATATAAAGGGGTCATGAAGGGTGTGGCGGCACCACCCAGTCTGCCCCGCTTGGTTCTCAACACAGGGAGACCTTTGCCACCAAATCTGGAGCAGTTGCACCACAGCGATTGTCAACTTCGTTCACGTGCCACAACACCTAATTAGGCAATCCTCAGCTCACGAGAAACATCTTGAAAAGCATGGTATCATATGGGACCATGGCACCCTCTCTCAACCCGGGGACGGCACAGAATGAACCAAACGACACCCTCCAAAAGGCCCTGCGTTTCGTCCTCTTTTTCTCACTTGTGGCAGCCATAGCCTTTGGGACCATCCCCTGTGTAGTCCTCACCATCATCCTTGACAACGGCAAAGAAAATGGCAAAACTATCAGGAATGTTTTTCCATGGATGCATGAGAGTGGCCGCCTAAAAGAATAGACCTACCAAGGTCAAAACTGGAAAGCGATGCAAGAGAAACACACGTCCTCTATTGGCAACTGCTACCCCGACCTAAGGGTGAACAAAAAGAAAAAACACTTCAAGGTCCAAGCCACAAAAAGTCACAAAGGGGTCGGCGACCCGGGGCCGGCTCGCACACAAAACCCAGGTGACCCCTCACTTGGCTGTTCGCTTGGCTCACTACGGTTGGGACCCGGGAGCGCAAGGATCCATTCAACCAAAATTGGTGCCGAAAAAAACAAATTAGAACTCATAGGTCGTAAGGTCATACGGAAAATTACGAAAATAAGCTCACTTCACTTCGAAAGATCCCCAGTATGACATGTCAACCCACTAGAACATGAATTAGAGGTCATGAAAGTAATGCACGTAATCAGGTCACACTTATTTTTCTAAAGCAAACAGTTGGTATTGTGAAGCATCCCGGCTTCATCTCTTTGCACTTGTCATCGGCTTGCAAACAGAAAGTGCACAGATGCACTTCGAGTTCCCACCCCAACTAGACAGTCACAAATATCACATAGTAATCTACAAAGAGCTGGCGTTTGAGGTCTGGCGGGGAACACTGCCAAGCGGAACTCGCGGTTGAGGTCCGGCGGGGAACACTGCCAGCCGAAGCTCGCGGTTGAGGTCCGGCGGGAACACTGCCATCCGGAGCTGGCGGTTGAGAACGAGGCGGAGGAGCAGGTGGAGGAGAAGGAGAAGGAGGAAGGCAGCTGAAATAAAATCTGACAACCCTCACCTGACAGGTGGGGAACAAACTCCTGCGAATGCATGCAAATGCGGCCACAGTCGAGCCATCGCTCGTGATCCAAGGCACACACAGCACCTGGGGCGCCAAATATTTCGAGCTCCCTGTGAAGTGCAGCACCTGCAAACCTTGGATGGGGACGGTGAAATTTACCTTACAAGACTCAAATAAGTTTTTGTATCATCAGTTCCAACAGCCTAACAGCATTAAACACACAAAAAACATGGTCGATTGATGTCGATTGTGTCATTTGATCATCAACCAAGCAAAAATCATAACAACCGAGCTTATCAGTGGCCACAGATCATAACAAACCATCACATCATCCACATCGTCACCGTCTTCCTTTTCACAAACTAGCAAAACCAACCATATTCATCACCTTGTCCGTCTCCCTCAAAATACGTAACTAAAAGAACACTTCCGAGAAAACTATCCATGAACCAACCAACGCTACCAAAATCGAATCTAATCCAAACAATAAACCATAATACATGCTGTTCAATTAACCATACCTGTTCCCTGCTTTTTTACTTCAAGCCGTCCACGCCGGCACCGGCTTTTGTGGTCGACATAATCACCATCTACCAAATGGTGTGCCTTGCATGTTTAAGGTGTTCCTTTGCACGTTTGCATCTGGAAATTCAGAGAATGCACCGAAGCAATTTGTGAGAACTCGAGCATTTGCGATTTCCCGATTTGTTCCTTTTGGATATGGCGGTCTTCTTTGTTGCTACCCCGGTATGTAGGTATATGAGGTGACCAATGGGCAATACCTCACCACGCGGTGGATGCACTGAGCCTCGGCGTCTTGAAAAAGGAGATGCGTCTTGAACAAGGACTGGCTGGGCGGGCTGGCTGGGTTTCAAAATCTCGTGTGCAACCGTTTCTGCCAAGCTGAAACGAAGAAAGCATGCAAAATAATTGAGCACTCTGAGATGATGAAGGCAAGAATGCAACAAAAACCCACGAAGGAACGTATGTTGATACGTTTTTCATGCTTCGCCACGTGGTGCTACCATCACTGGCAGTTCATCAAGCGCCACATGGAGACGCCCTTTCAAGTGTTGGTGCAAAAAAAGAATGGGAGCAAGGAAGCTACTAGGAACCCAGGCATCGCTACTAGCAGCAAGGACGCTACTAGTAGCTCCTGGCCTTACTGCTAGTAGCAACCAGCTACTAGGAGCAAGGAAGGTACTAGGATGGAGGTTGAAACATCGTGGATGGAAGACCTGCCACGAAGACCTGGAGGTTGAAACACGGCCGCTGCATCCACATCACACCGGAGGGATCACGACACCGGTCTTCTGAGAGAGGTCACGGAGGAAAGTCCTCCAAAAACACCACGGTAGTGGTGGCCACCCAGAACAAATAGTATGGTACAAATTTGCTAAAGCAAAATAAAAAGGCATTCTTTCATTGTAAACAATAAGACTAGACAAGAGATGGATGGATGATGATGGTTCATTTGATTTAGCTCAAAAATAACCACACAGTCAGTAACAAATACAGAAACAGGTTCTATCGAAAGTGATGCGCCAAAGAGTTCTGCTTGGAAAGAACAAATGGACGAATACTACAATAAGAATCCAAATGACGAAATGATCCAGTAGTAGACATCAAAAACTAACCAGCCAACCTGGGTGTGACAATTGTGCGACTTCTTTGAGTTGCAAGGCAAGTTTATCAAACATAAGAGATCAAAATAATGCATGACATATTTGCCATGATTTTGAAAATGCTGAAGTATTATCTGTATGTTATGATGGTTAACAGGATTTTGGATTTGTTAGAGATTTGTATGACAAGGTTGAAAAGTTGAGGCCAGAACAACGTTGTTCTTATTTTGCCTGCACGGATGAGGGCACAGCCAAATAAGCAAAACATTTCCATAGAAATAAAGCAGCGTTAGAATATTTTAAGTTTTTGGGACACCCGTTATCATTGTTCCTGTCGATGAAGGAGCCTTATCAATAAATATAACAAAAAATATACAGAACCATTTCAAAGGGAACACACAAGACATGTCATAGCAAAAACTCATGCGAATGCAGCCGGGAGGGCTACAGGCACACTTAAAACACTGATAGTAGCGGACAGGATGAGACATAACAAAAACAGAGTAATTTGAAATGGATGAACGCATCATTAACATATACAAAACTACCCAAAGACTAGTGTTTCTGGAACAACTCCAAGCAAACCGCATAGATTTGAACATGGTTCAAGTAAAGGCACTGCTGATTTTCAACGAAATAACACAACCATTAATATCCTAATATCAAAAAGTGATTATGTTATGTTGAGCATTTGCCCAGGGAAAATGGAACTGTGCTTAAGCAAAGAAAAATGTCAATGGAGTGAAAAAATAGAGTAAATCCTGAAAACACGAATTCTTGTTGATCACCGAATTAATTGCACGTTTGGTGTTGAGTCTTTTAACCTACAAATGCACCACATAGACCAATGTTTTCTTGATGTGTGCCCTACTTACCCCCTACTGTTCCTTGTTGTTATCCCTGCAATTTTGTAGTTGCTATGTTCGGTTTCCTCTATCCCTTCATTGTGCTACTCTCTATTCTTTCCCGTGTTCTTGATCTTGTCTTCATTGAGAGGGTTTTAGTATACTTGTGGGTTTCTACCTGCTACAACAATATTGACACGACTAGGATTTCTCATGCATAATGTCCTTCTCCTGCGTCAAGTTTCACCTCACCATGACATGAGCAATCTTCAACACATTCAAGTACACCATGTTCAACACCAAGATCATCAAATTCGGTATATCAAAGGACTTGAAGTGTCTTCTGCCACCTCTTACCAAGAAGTTGTAGTCAATCCTGTGTCTTGTCATTATTTGCCTTACCTCTTCACAAGTTGAACCTGTATAGCATCTATGCTAACCAACATCAACTGTCTTATAGACCTTTCCAACTTCATATATATATATATTTTCATCTATATATATGCATCTTAAGTTATCATACCTTTAGACCAAATATCAATTAATGCCCATAGGGAAGGCTTCTTCTTCAGTGTGCCAGCAACGCTTGCTACGCCATGGATAAAGTGTACACTTTGTTTGGCTTACTGAGTGCTGTGTAGTTGGTGATTGTTGATGTTTGTTCTATTGAACTACTTTACCCTGCACGACACCTTTGTGCTTCTTGTATTTTGTATCATCATCTAATACCTTTTTAGTTTGTGTTTTGACACTGTGCAACACATGACTGACTATATTACCAACAGTTGCATCCTTGAACTTGCCTAAAGCTGTCATATTTGTTTTTCTAGCAGTTTCGAGAAACCCAAATACTTCAGGCAGACAAAAGTTTACGCTTGTTAGCCTTCTTACAAAACAC